TTTTTCAAATATGTGTAAGGTGTATATAAAGGTGTTATGAATTCTTTGCTGAATGATTTGTATATTTTCATGGGTCTCTAAGTTCCCTGAAGTCAATGAAAGTTAATTTTCTGTGCACACTGCTCCTTTCACAAGGTCTGGAAAATGAAAACTATAACCTCTCTCACCTTACTGTGTGCTCCATTTCTCACTCTCTTGGAATCAGAAGAGGAGGAGAAAACTGCGGGAAAGGGTCTACATTTCCAAAAAATGAAGTACTGGTACAGTTCCCCCTTATGGAAAATGTTTACATGTAAACATATAATTTATCAAGGGAAAGGAAAAATTATGAGAAAAGGAAAAAATGGAAACAAAGTCTTAGTAAATAGGGGAGGGTGGAGGGGGTGAAGGAAGGGCAGGGAATGGGGCAAAAATAAGAACCAAGATATATCATGTAAAGGTGTAGGTTCTCAATGATAAGTGTGAATGTATACCTAAAATGTAGCAATAAAAAGAATTTAAGGAAAGAAAAAAACCATAATTTATCTAGCAATATAGAAGGTTACAGAACATCATCAGGATTTTTTTTAAAGTGCTGTGGGAAATATTCAGGACAGAAAACAAATTTTGCTTACTCACTTTCCTACAAATGTTTGGTTTACTAATGCAAGAGAAATTCTATCAAAATTATTTGGCTGATCCCACCATTTTATCACCCAACCTCACCCACAATGTGCAGACACATCTCATTAAAGTCTGAGTTCCCTTCCTGTGACTGAGTACTTAACTGAATTGGTCCCTAAGTGATGAATTGTACACAGTATGCACATTACAATATTTGGAACACAGAAATGGCCAAAGGATACTCTAACATGACGGCTTTGTTTTTATTTACATAACTCATACATGCAGTACTGTAATGTAAAACAGGGCATAAACTACAGTACTGCACTGTACAGTACAATCAGCAAAAATTACAGTACTGTATAAACATGGTGTACTGTAAAAAAGATATTGAGGTTCTATCAACGATATGTACAGAAGTGTACAAAAAAAGGTGGGTTGTAAGTCCGAGAGACAAATCATAAATCCAAACAGCAGGCCTCAGTCTTCAATAAGAACTGTGGTTAAATAGATAGCTCCTTGATCCAAAAATCTCTGTATTATACCAAGACTGGTGATGATGTTTTTCCCATCACACAGGCACTGCCTTCTAGTGGCAAGTTTTCACTAGCAAGTTAACAGCATTTAGTCCAGTTCTGACTGGTTATACTTAGGATTTGAGGAACCATCACTTCATCAAGTAAACAAATGCATGGATCCACAAATATGATGCTACCAGCCACTCCACTGATTCTTTTAATCAAACTTTAAGAAAATGAAAGATTATTAAAAAGGAACTCTTATGTGTTACCCACTTTGCAGTCAATCTCTTATTTCATCTTTGCTAATGATGGCACACAAATAATCATGCAGAAATGAAAAGTGAAGAATTGCAAAGCTCTAGAAGCAATGATGAAAAGTAATCCTCACCTGCAGACTACGATGCTCTGGGTCGCTGTGCAAATGCACTCCTGCCCGGCCTTCCTTCAAAATTTCTTGGATGCTGTCCCATCCCGCGGGTAAGTCAACGGAGACCCTAGAGGGGGAGTGAGAATGACAAAGGACAGGGGACACGAGAGATGGAGACAAGACAGGTTTCTGATCAAGTCTCATTTATTGCAGAAGCTGCTACAACATATATACCGTAGGGCTAGAGGGGAGGAGCAAGGGGAGGGTACTGGGACTACTTCCTTGTTGCCCGGTAGACATGCAGCAGGCCCAGACATGCCCGTAAAAGGCACTCAAGAGTTCTAGCGGGGCGGGGGGGCAAGGCCCCCCACAGGATGCAGCCTACCAACTCATCCAGTAGCACAGCAGCAGAAGCTAAACTTATGACTACCTGTTTAAAAGGTTATGAATATATATCATTTATTAAGTTCAGCCTAAATTTCAAAGTAGAAACTAAAGATCAGTAATACATGGTATTTCCTTTGGGTTACAAATTGTAGGACATTACTGGATTTACTCAAAAGCCTATAGAAATGTGAAAAAAGAGCTCCTCAAACTTTTTCAATTCATGCTACACACAGGAAAGGATAATATCTGTGTATGAACTGGTAAAAAAAGAAAGATGCCTGACTACTCTCAGCTGGAATGCTAGACCTGAAAAGAGCTTTTTTTAAATACACAACAGATAGAAATTTATGGAGTAAAGAATCAAATTTATGAAAGTCCTAGTGAAAAAATCCTGACAAGCACTTAAACCATTGCAAATTCCTCAGTGAAACTTTAGAACTCAAGAACTAAATTCCCAAACATTACTTTGATCTTTTTTTGTCAATATCCAGGAAAGAGGTACTCTCTCTTACTTAACATTCTTTCCTTGGTACCAAACCATGGTCACACATAACAGTGATTCCAATGATAACGTATTAATCCAGCAGGACTGGGTCAAGGAAAACTCCACCCAAAGTCATACCACTACCTTGTTAGGCTATTGCCTTGGCTGCCTTTCTTCTTTTATAGAAAATGGAGGGTTTAACTCACAAATGTGGAGCCTTGTAAACATTAGGCTGCTGTTCAATCCCTTGGGAAATAGATTCATTCTAACTGTATCTTTCAAAAACAGTAGTAATATTGTGCTTGGGAAAAAGAGAACCAGTTATTAACTTCTTGCTACTGTTACAAGTAATAAGAGCTCAGCCCAGCTTGCTGCCATCTCTGAAGGATCAAGGAAACAGGTTATTTCCACTTCTTGTGATTATACCACATTGTAAGACTTCTAGCCTTTTAATAAAGGTGCTGAAACTACAAGCTTCCCTTTCAATTCATTTAATTTCAGTCAATTGGCAAAAAGAGACAATAAACAAATAATGAGTTACAATCTAATACATTTTTAAACCCTCACCCCAGACTTTAAAAACATCTTGTGTCTCACTCACCCTGACCAGCCAACTCCTCTTCCCAAGCCAACCCATAGATAACAAAATCAAGAGGTTAAGCTGGCAAGGTCTCCTTGGAGCCCATAGACAGGTGAGCGATGAGCCTTGATGGTTCACTATGGACAAAATGTTCCCTGTGGGATTGGAGTTTTCAGGACACAGAAGGCAGCCACAGTGACCGAGACCAGGATCCGTGTTGTTACAGAAGACAGAAAATGTAGCTTCATAATGAGCAACTTCCTTCTTCATCTACAAGATTCTACCCTCTTTCTTATTCTGAGACATATCTCTTTCATTGACTTCAGGCGGCAGAACCACTGAGCTAAATCCCCGGCCCTCTTAACTCT